TTTTCAACATAGGTCTTTGTTAGAGTCATATTTTTGGCTATTGTAACTTACCGGTTAGATCCGGCTCTGATACCAATTTGTTAGGATCGGGAACCCGGGTAGTGCGAAATTTAGCCAAACAATATTATAATGACAATAACAAAAACAATGCCAGTTGATAATAATGGTAATTAAAGCAGATAAAGAAGACACCAATTTAACGTGGTTCGGTCAGTGTGACCTACATCCACAAGCGGAGAGGAGCAATTTCACTATAACAATAAGAGTACAAAATTAGAGTAAAAACTCTAATTAATCCCAAATATCCCAAGAGAATAATCTCACAAGATCACTCCAAAGAAGGGTTCACACAAGTGTTTCCCGACACTCAACTCTCTTACAAAATAATCTTAATTACTAAAGGAGGAGGAGAAGAAACAAAAAATGAATAATTCAAATCTTGTTGGTGTACGTCAAATGAGCCAGAATCGGCTCAATTTATAACCAAAGGAATTGAATTTGCTTGGTTATAACTTGGCTAGCAAATCTCAATTCTGATGGCTTCAAATTGGCCACCAAGGCCTCTTACAACAAGGCCAAAACAAGGCCACATTATTACAGTTAATAACTAAGATTTTTTTGGAGTTTTTACTCTAATCAGATGAATTATGAAGGTAGCTCGCTCTAGTGGTTTTTTTTATATAGAGTTGTAATAGCAAGACTTTAATATGGATTAGGAGAGTGATTAACTTTATCGTATATTTGATTTTTGATTTATATCAGTCATAATTACTACTGAAGTTTACGTCCAAACAGAATTCTTAAAAATTAAAATACATGCAATTTGAAGTCTATAAGGTCAAGAGTTTGGAAGATAACTCATCATGATTTTCCCATATTTCTGAAACTTCTCAGCCGATGTGCATTTATATAATGTGAAAATTTAATAAATAAATAAATAAATAGTGTCCTCTTGAAGTACAAAAAGCGAAATAGAAATTTATTAAAGAAAGAATTACAAGAAAATACACATGACTTCACACCACAACAAAAAACGGCCCATATTTTTAAGTTTTACTCCACCTAGCCCCGTTATACATATTTTGAAAACTGAAACAGTATTCTAAATTCTTAAGCATTATGACCTTTCCATATCTATGTAGCGGTTACATATCCTCTCCAGGAAGAGGTCTTCTAAAAACTTCTTCTTTGCTGCTCATGTTTTTCAATTACAATTGCTTAAAATTAGAGTGTCAATTGTTATTACTCCCTTCGTCCTATTTTTATTGATTTTAGTTGGAAATATTGTACTTTTGAAAACACTAGCAAATTCAAAATTTGTGTTCTTACAACTATTGCTTCTAAAAGTTATGGAGTTATATCTATGTTCTCACAACCATTGCTTTCACTCTCTCTTCTTCTCACATCTTCTACATATGCTTCAAGGGACCGTGTATTTTCTGCTTCTCCTCTTGTGTCACCTGCTTGCAATGTAAGAAAATTGAAGAGTAGAAGTCCACCATTGAAGGCCATTCAAAGCTTTGCTTTTGAAAATGGTTTTTTTTAATTTGTTAGTTGTTTGGATTGGGTGTTGTTCCAATTGATTGAAAATATCAAAATGAGTTCAAAATTTAAATTTGAATTGATTTGGAGTAGATTTGAGTAAGATTTGAGTTAAATTTCAGAAAAGACGCAAGGAAGAAGACAAAGTCAGTTTTTTGTATAATTATGTATAATCTTGTATAATAGTGTATATGAGTGTAGAAACACACCTTATACACTTTTATACACCTTTATACAAGCGTCTGTAGACGAACTTCTTCCACGATTTTCAGTTGCAATTCTTGTTCAAAACCAGTCCAAATCTCCATTTAATGACTTCAAATTTTATATATAACCTCCTTATACTATTTCTAACAAGTCTAAATAACACCCACTCCAACTTTCTCACAAAATCAAATTCGGAATTTAAACCCACATATTTAAGCTTGTTAAAAATCTAATTTTCACCACCCAAATGAATTTGGTTTGTTGAATTAATATTTGAGTCACAGTTACTGATTCGAAAATAAATTTAAAAGCTTGAGGAATCTTTTTTAAAAATTCAATAGTAATTTTGAGAATCTATTAGAGTTGTATGTTGAATCTTAGCCTATATTTTTGGGCTAGTTGGTAGTAAATTAAAATATGGACAATAAAATTGAAAAGTAAGCAGCCCAATTGTTCTAATATTTGAGTCACAGTTACTGATTCGAAAATAAATTTAAAAGCTTGAGGAATCTTTTTTAAAAATTCAATAGTAATTTTGAGAATCTATTAGAGTTGTATGTTGAATCTTAGCCTATATTTTTGGGCTAGTTGGTAGTAAATTAAAATATGGACAATAAAATTGAAAAGTAAGCAGCCCAATTGTTCTAATATGAAATTTTGCCTAAATTAAATTATTAACTTCTACAAAATGAGGATTCATTGGGAATCAACTTTACCGATCCATTTATGAAAACAGTTTATTTGAAGGGCTTTGAATGGAATTTTCTTTTGCCTGATTTAATCCATATTTATGATTAAATCAATTTTGTTAATAACTTATAAACATAAGTATTTTATTATGATTTGAATTTTTTTTCACTAACTCTACGTTTGGTAAAAGTGACGTATTTAATTTAGTGATGACTTCCGAAGTGTTTAGTCCTAAGTTAAGTTAGTAGATGAGTCTTTTTTTAAGAATATAATGTTACTAAATAAATATTTTTTGGGTTGACATGCAACATCGTACATCCGTACTTTCTTTTTAAATGTCTATAGTGAAAAGCTACCTAATAATAACATAATCCAGAAAATTAAAATAGCTTTAAATGCTAGAAGAAATCACAGTTGGGGAAACCATTATTTTACTCTGTAGTTAGTTGTAGCCTATACATAATACAAAGGGAAAAGGCTCTAATATACCCCTCTGCTTTGAGAAATAGTATATTCCTATCCCCGTTATACTATTAGGCCATTTAAAGGCCTACCGTTAGGAAAGTAAAAAAAAATATCCTTATTTTTAACCTCCGTCCAACAAGGCAATTAAAATGCCATCTGGAAGCCTACGTGGACAGATCCGACCCATAAACCCTTAATATAACCCGTTAGATGCCTTCTTCTTCCCAATATCACCATAGGCATAAATTCTAGGGTTCATATCAGAAAATCTTTTGTGCTCATCTTCTCTCCTTCTTTCCTCGATTGTGAAATGTCTCAAGGAAGCTCATCTACTCGCGTCTCTCATCAGATTAAGTGCCATTGTGGTATGATAGCAAGCAACTTAACTTCAAAAACTATTTCTAATCCTGGAAGGAAGTTTTATAAATGCCCTAAACCTAAGGTTTGTTGGTCTCATCTTCTAAGTTTGGTTTTTTCTATTTTCCAGTTGTATAAAGTATAAATGTTTTAGTCTAAATGTAATTTATTGTTATTGACAGGATTATTCATGTCGATTTTTCTTGTGGGAAGATGAAGTTTTTCCAGTTAATCGTATGAATGCAAATAGAGAATTGGGGTCGACAATGGATGTTGTTATGTTGGACATAGAGAAATTGAAGAAGGAAGTAGCTTCCATGGAGGCTAAGAACCATTCTCAAGTGATTAAAGTTGCAATATTGGAAGAGAAAATATCGAAGATGTGGATCATTCTATTGATAATATTAGGACTATTTTTGGGGTTCGTTGCTGCTTCGATGAAGAACTGAATGGCTTAGGAGATGTGTTCATTGTAATGTTAGCTCTAGTTGGGAGTAATATGTGTCTAACTCCCAAGGGTGTCTAATGTATTAGGTTGAAGAACTGAATGGCTTAGGAGATGTGTTCATTGTAAGCTTAGCTCTAGTTGGGAGTAGTATGTGTCTAACTCCTTGTATTGTTAACTGCTTTGTATTGTTAATGTTTCCAACTAATGAAATACTGGTTATTTTTGTTGTTTAAGTATAAAGTTTTCTTGTATCATACTTCCCTTTAACATAACTTCAATATAATTCCCTTTGTAATGTATATCCCTTTGTGGCAAACACAACATATTACAACAACATAATGAAATACATAACTGGCCAGTCATCATAACTTCATTAAAATTCAGCTAACCTTCATTAAAATTCAGCTAACACTTCATTCAGCAACATAAACATAACAGTTACATAATTTCATGCATAGAAAACATAATTCGACATCATTCTGTTGAAAGGACCCAAAAGGGATGTCACTTTATAACCCCAAAAACTGATACCACCCAAGTAATAAAATAACATCCACCTTGATAAGTTTAAGTTAAAGAACCTAAAATTTAAGTTAAAAGTATTGTCACATGCAGTAATTACAAGACAGCAAAAACCATTCACATTTTCAGAACTTGACTAGTTCTGTGCATTTCCATTTCCCTTCCTTGACTTCATCTTGGCTAGTCGTTGCCTCTCTAATTGGTATCCTGTTATGGCAGCTTTTCCTCTCCATGTAAGATTTTTGGGTGAGTAAGGAAGTTGTGTTGGCAAACTCACACCACTGGCATCACCAACAAAGTTAATAGTCCTTGTTCCAGTTGTTGTGCCTAGTTGCTCCCTCCTTTGGAGTCTAGTATTTGCCTCTGACACACGCCTTGGCATTATAGGTGGGTCTGGATTGTCTGCTTCTGGATAGTCAAAATCTGTTTCAGGATAGTCAAAATCAGCTTCTGCATTGCTGTTTGATTGCTTCCTAGACAGGGATGGTGTTGGCATAAAGATGTATTGAGGTCCAGAATTGCTGCTTGCTTGACTGGCCTGACTGGCTTGTGGTGCTGTTAGTTGCAGCTCCTCTTCTAAGGACAGCCCTGCAGCAGCTGGAGATCTAGCCATATTGTCCTCATGATCTTCATCAACAGTTGTCCTCGACCTCTTTTTGTTTTCTTACCAACCTGTGGCTGCTTTCCCTTGCTTTGCTGTCAAAGATATAAAGTAACAAAATTAGGACACTATGTTAATTCAGCTAAGAAGTAATATAGTAAGGGTGTGTCAGGTTACCTTTTGACATCCCCTAGCATTATGTCCAGGCTTTCCACATGTGGAACAAGTCATCACCCTGCCTTTTCTGGATTGAGACCACTCCCCTTGCCTATTTATTGTCTCATTCTTTTCTCTAGTCCTCTTCACTTTAGGCCTACCAGCCATATTCACTAGCAGGGGTGGATCCATTGCATGAGTTGGCTTTATGTTCCAGAACTTCTCTCCTCTAATTGGTTCTAACTTATGTGCATAAGTGGAGAGATAAGCCTCCTTGGTGAACCACCAATGAATCTCAGACACATGATTAATTTTTTTGTACAGTAATGCTCTAATTGCATGAGGACATGGGATCCCAGTAAGGTCCCATGTTCTGCAAGTACATTTTTTCAGGTTGATGTTCACTCTATGCTTTTCAGTAGTTCCTTCATTTACCTCATATCCATCTTTTCCATTAGAATCAACAGTACATTTTTGTGCACTGTTCAAGAATTGATAATATAACTGCATGGTATGAGGACTTACATTTTCAGTCCAAGTCAGCACTTCACTTTCATGCTCTCTCAACATATTCATCACCTTAACTCTTATGTCTTCAAGCATTCTGATAATTGGCTTATGCCTAGCATCTAGTATCCATGAGTTGAAGGATTCTGTTAGGTTATTGTCCACTTGTTGGTTCTTGCATACTGTGTCAAAGTATGCTCTACACCATGATTGTGGAGGATACCTCAACAGGTCTTCAACAGCTTTTTCATCAATTTCTCCCAAGTTTTTCAGTTGATCCTTGAAGTCTGCTTCATAGCTACTCCATGCACACCACCATAAGTACTTTTTCTTCAAATCCCCAGCACCCCATCTTCTACACCAGTTAGCCTCTATGTGCCTCACACAGTATCTGTGGTGTGCATCAGGAACTACTGCCTGAACTGCCTCAATCAAGCCCTACATATATAAGATGCAGAAAATTAAACATCTAAAAATAAAAAGGAAACAGTCAATAATTGAAAAGAATAACATTGAAGTACCTTCTGCATGTCTGACATGAATGTGTATCCTTCCCCTAGCTTGAGGTCTAATGAATTGTTCAACAATGTCAAGAACCAGGTCCAGGTGACCTTTGTTTCTTTATCCACAACAGCCCAAGCAATAGGATAAAAATGATTCATTGAATCAAGAGCAACAACAACTAAAAGCTGACCTTTGGCCTTTCCTTTCATGAAGGTTCCATCCAAGCCAATAAAGGGTCTCAACCCACTCTTAAACCCCATTTTAAGAGCATGAAAACAGATATACATCCTAGAAAATCTTCTTTTTCCTTCAGCAAGTGCATCCTTGGATAAGGTAACTATTACATCACTCCCTGGATTACTCAGCCTCAATTCATTAGCATATGCCTCTATCTTATTATACTCATCAGTAAAACTACCAGCAAGGGATTCAAGTATCATTCTCTTGGCCCTCTTACACTTTGCATGGCTAACATTGATGTTGAAAGTATTTTTTAAGGTCAATTTCATCTCCTTAACTTTGATCATAGGATTCTCTTGCAGCTTGTTCTTGAAATATTCTGCTATAGTATTTTTGTCTATCCTAGGGTTGTCATATGCAGGGTTACACTTGTGTTTTGACTTAAGAGTTTTGATCTTAACCCCACCACCCTTCTTATCCTCAGAAATTAGACATACAAAGGGGCAGCCAACCTCACACCTGCACCTCAGTCTAATGCTGTCACTCTTCAGTTGTTTTAGACCATAACAGTTGGCTAAGCAATACAAATTTATCACCTTTCTAGCCTCAGGTATATCTTTGAATGTCATTCCTTTGTATATCTCTTTGTATTCAGTCAACTTTTCAGAAATCTCCCTCTTTTTTTGTAGTGCAATTACTTCTAAGTCATCAGAATCATAATAAGAAAAAACAGTCTCATCTTCACTCTCATTTGAACTACAATCAGTTGCAACCTCACACTCTACTGTTTGTGATTCATTATGGTCGACAATATTAGGAACATGAACCCCCATTTCACTATCCTCTACAGCAAATACATTAATTACATTGAAATGGTCAGAAATCATGTTTTGCAAAGTCCTAATACCATCATCCCCTACTATTTCATAAAATCTACCAAAAGGACCACAAATTATCAATTGTTGGACACCAACATACCCTATAGTAGATGAGGTATATTCATTTACTACATCTATGAAAGACAGAAGGTCAGAATCATACTGTTTCCAAGTGTACACCAACTTTCTTGTATATAACACTTTTGGTATTATTTTCCAGTCACCTCCATAATTGAATAACAAGTCCACCTTCACCATCTTAACCTACAAAATAAATAAGAGAAAAGGGTTAACAAAAATGAATATTATATAGTACAAAGCAATAAAGGGATGAATATAAGAGTATATAATAGTACAAACTTTAATGTCAAACATTGAATATAATAAAGGGCATTCCCATATGAATCAGACAAAATAGTATAAAGAAATAAATGGCAGGCACATGAGTGTCGATATTATTAAACAAATCTACGGGTGGTCCACAAATTCTAAATAAACAACATAAATTTACAGCATTCAATAAGGAACAACAGAAAAATGTCCCACTTGGGAACCATATACAATCATCTATGCCCAGAAACAAAAACTCTTTTTCCCCAAAAAGAGATAAAATGCAGTCCCACATGTAAACCCTACACTAAACAAACTGCCATACAAAATCCACATAATAGAGACTCACTACATCCGAGAAAACACACATGCAAACACTAAACTATAAAGATTAACAGAAACCCTAAATCACCTTCAGTACAAAAGAAGATTAACATCGGAAAAACAAAGAAAATAGGAGAAATAACAACAACCAGGTTTAATAGAATAAAAAAAACTATACCTTTGAAGGATTTTACAGAAAATCTGGGAGCTAATTGATGCATACACGAGGAACCCTAAATCGCCTCACTGTCGTTCCCTCAGTTGTTGAGAAAAAATGACCCTTTTCTTTATTAAAAACGGGTAAAGAAGCTTTTAAGTAATAGGTGGAACGAGTTTATGGGTCGGATCTGTCCACGTAGGCTTCCAGATGGCATTTTAATTGCCTTGTTGGACGGGGGTTAAAAATAAGGGTATTTTTTTTCACTTTCCTAACGGTAGGCCTTTAAATGGCCTAATAGTATAACGGGGGATAGGAATGTACTATTTCTCAAAGTAGAGGGGTATATTAGAGCCTTTAATTTTAAACATCAAGATCCATCGATTAGAGATGCAACTGTAATACTCATTGCATTGAGCACGTTGAAAGACCAAAAAAGAAAGAAAGAAACACTATAGGTTGGGGATCAAAGAGAAGCTTATAGGTCAAACATTATTTTCTTATACTTTGAGGGTGTTTGGCTAATCTTATAAGCCGGTCAAACTGGCTTATAAGCACTGTTTGGCTTACCTACACATTAAGTGCTTATAAGCTAAAATTCCATAAGTCATAAGTTGGTCACCCCCAACTTATGGCTTTTTAGCTTCTAAGCACTTTTAGTTTGACCAAGGCTTTTACTAATTTATCCTTAATAATATTTTATAATTCACAAAATTTTATTCCTCAATATAAATTTTCTAACTTTTTTTTCATTCCATATTCGTTGTTCATCTTTTTCTTTACAAAGAAACTTTTTAATTTATAATCTTTTGTAAAGTTTTTAAGGATATTTTAGTCATTTTAATAAAAAAAATAACTTATCAGCACTTTTCTACCAAACACATCAAGTGCTTATTATCAGTTTCAGCACGTCTATCCAAACATGTAAATGTTTATTTAAAAAATCAGTTTCAGCACTTAAAAATGCTTTTCATCACTTCAAGCTTATCAACTATTTACAATCAGCTAATCCAAACGGGCTCTTTGTCTAAATATACCCTAAGTGCCACAAAAGTAAACATCAGTATAATGTGGGCCATTTTATTTGACTATTTTAAGACTAGTGGCGATGGTAACAATTTATGTATTTAAAATAATAAGCTCATATTTATTATTTCTTATAATTTTAGTAAATTATATACATAAATTAATGCTTGCATCGAAATTACTTGATTTAGATGAACCCAGTACTAGAAGGCTACATTCGCCTCTGCAAATAGTAACACCTTCACAAAACGAGAGGGAGCGCAGTATTTTAAAAGTGGAGTCATGGAGAGATATAACAGATAAAAGAGTCCATTACACAAATGGTCACTCAACTATCCCTAATTATCTTTTAAAGTCACTTTACTTTCGTTTGTAACAACAAAGTCACTGAACTTTGCTTATTACACTCAGAAGGTCACTCAACTAGATTTTCCAAATTTTGGATTGCCAAATGTCTATTTTACCCTCTAAATTATAAATATTAATTTTATTTTTATTTTTTTATGAACTTTTTTATATTATGATTTTTCCCTTTTTAATTTATACTATGGACTTACCTATAGAATAAATAAATATTATTTATAAACTAAAAATATAAAAAGTAATGCTGGAATAACAGAATAATGAGCATAGTAAAAAAATTAATCAGAATAATTTGTTAATAATAATAATTTTAGTATTAACAACAAAAATTTCAAAAATATATTTACACAATTCAGAATGAAAAAAAAAGGTCGTAAAATATATATATTCAATGCACGTAATATAAAAATAAAAATTTAAATAAATATATTTTTATAATGTACATTATATATTTTTGAAAATTATGCTCAGTTATATTACTATTATGTTTCTACCAACTTTCCGACGACACAAAGTTATGTCACCGGAAAGCAGGGAGACTATCTGCATAGGGTAAAATATGCTATGTTAAGTCNAAAAAAATTCAAAAATTTATTTACACAATTCAAAATGAAAGAAAATAAAGGTTGTAAAATATATATTCCATGCACGTAATATAAAAATAATTATTTAAATAAAAGTATTTTTATAATATGCATTATATATTCTTGAAAATTATGCTCATTTATATTATATATATTTCATGCACGACTTAACATAGCATATTTTACCCTATAGAGATAGCCCCCCTGCTTTCCGGTGATATAACTTTGTGTCGTAGGAAAGTTGGTAGAAATATAATAATATAATTGAGCATAATTTTCAAGAATATATGATGTGTATTATAAAAATACCGTTATTCAAATAATTATTTTTATATTACGTGCATAGAATATATATTTTACAACCTTTATTTTCTTTCCTTACGAATTGTGTAAATAAATTTGTAATTTTTGTTGTTAATACTAAAATTATTATTACTAACAAATTATTCTAATTAATTTTTAATATGCTCATTATTTTGTTATTCCATCAATATATATGCTTAAATACTTTTATTTTTTTAATTTATAAATAATATTTATTTATTTTATAGGTAAGTCCATAATATAAATTAAAAAAAATGATAATATAAAAAGTTTAAAAAAATAAATAAAAGAAGATAAATATTTATAATTTAGAGGGTAAAATAGGTATTTGGCAATCCAAAATTTGGAAAATCTAGTCGAGTGACCTTTTGAGTGCAACAGACATAGTTCAGTGACTTTGTTGTTACAAACAAAAGAAAAGTGACTTTAGGAGATAATTTGAGATAGTTGAGCGACCATTTGAGTAATTGACTCTTCAAGTAAGGTAACTTAGAACGAGTGTTTAACGCACTTGATTATTCAGAACGAGGAAAGTGAAAAAATGGGAATGTACATATTGTATACGGATAAACCGGGGCTAATGAGTATCCCAATTTCCTGGTGAGTCAAACAAAGCAAGGACATGACTACATGGGATCGGAATCGAAGCTCGGAAATTCTCGTACTAAGGTCCAAATGGAGTGCTCGCCACTGAGCCTAATAAGACAACACTTTCCAGAACCCGGGACAAGCTCCAAGACCTCGGAAAACACAGCAACGATTGCGAACGATAAATAGAGGACCGTGTTATCCGCACCCCACCAGATATCACATCGCAGATCTCACCAAGCATCGGCAACAAATTAGTAATTGACGAGAAAGGAAGATTTTTACCATTTTAAAATTATACAAGGGATGAAACTCTCCTGCTATATAAAGGGGAAGTTTTTCTTTGATAAGGGACATGGTAACACGCACATCAAGGCAATACAAACTTATTTCTCTACTCTCTAGCTATTGCAAAGTCTTGACTTTATTTTTGTTCTTTGTTCTTTGTTCTTGATTGGCTTCGAGCCCAGGACCCAACCTAGGGCTGAAATTATTGCCCAGTCCAAGTTCAAGCTAGGCCATAGACTGGTTTGATTGTTCATTGCGTCTTTCACTCATTTATCTAACATTCTTGATTATTTGTGTTGAATCAATCTACACACCTTTAAAACCGCGTATAAATTCAATTGTTACCCATTTTAAGGGTAAACACTTTGGCGTCCACCGTGGGGCTAAGGATAATAGTGGTGATTTGAAAAACAAAATTCATAACACACTCTATTTTACACGTGTTCTTTAAGGTTTCAATTTCACGTAAGCTTAAAAATGTCAAATTCTCAGTTTGCTCACTTGAACATTGAGACTGAGTCTGGCCTTCATGGCGAAAACAACAACCTGGTGCCTAACAATGAGGTGCCCCCTGCTGATCCAAACGGAGTCCTAGCTGCCGATTCAATCGATGCCAATTCACAGGTCGCTATCGATGCACACCTGCCAACTGACCCTAAAAATAGCGCTCGTGGAGGCCCTCGGCCAACAGTCCTAGAAACGCCTGTAGGGGAAGGTGACGGGATAAGCGTGCGACTAATCTTCTAAATGTTGCAGGCTCAACAGGCGGCAACAACACAACTACAGAATCAAGGTCACCCTCTTAGCAAGGTCGAGCCCGAACGATCCGGAGAGAGCACCCGAAGAAACGAGCAAACCACTGAGAGGTCAGGTGAATTTGAGCCCGAGGCCAACCCCGAGATAATGAAAATTCTTGGAGCATTGACAAAACAGGTGAAATCAGGTGAAAAGATAATTGAGGCCAACAACAAAAAGGTGGAAACAGATAACTCCAGGGTCGATCAAATCCCAGAAGCACCCCCGATATTAAAAGGATCGGATTCCAAAAAGTTTATCCAAAGCCTTTCCCTCCGAGTGCTGCGCTGAAGCCGATCCCAAAGAGGTTTCGTATGCCCGATACTTCAAAGTACAACGAAACCACAAATCCAAACAAGCATGTGACCTCCTATACGTGTGCCATTATGGGGAACAGCTTGGAAGATGACGAAATCGAGTTAGTTTTGCTAAAGAAGTTTGGGGAAACTCTGTCAAAGGGAGGAATGATATGGTATCAC